AATATGGCCCGAAAAGCAAAAAAGTGGGCGTGGCCAGTGCTAAATTCACCATTACCCTATTTTACATTTTGACCTGTAACTTCATACCCGTACATGGTATATCCATCAAAATTTGCACAAAGATGTATTTGTATGTGGAGACTCCAAATATTGCACTGTCATCTTTGTATCTGCAACCAGTAATGTGTTATGGCACAGCAAAAAGTCTAATTATGTGTTAATATACATCATCTTTATTCATCTTTATATTTACACATTATTATGTGTAAATATACATCATCTTTGTTGGAAAAATTGTTATTGAAGCCATACAGACACAACAGTAATTTTTATTCCACATCATATCCACATGCTATTCTACTTTCAAGCAAAATTTGGTGATGGTTAGTTGCCTGCTTTAAAAAGTAGAGCCATTTAAAGTTGTTGTATTTTCTAAATAACTTTAAAAAACTCATTAATAATTCAGGAGCAAAACACAAAGAAAAATCATAAGCGTGTCGTGGTTTTATATGTGATCAAAAATCATGTTAATTTACATAAACTTTAGCTTTGATTTTCTCGGTTTAGACAAAGTTTATTTTAAAAATTACTTCGCCAATGAACTTGTATAAGATGAGTCGTTTTTTAAGCCATTTAAAGCACTCCTCCGCTACGCGTCGTGTTTTATATGTGATAAAACACTCCTACGCGTGCTTTAAATAGTACTTAATAGTACGTTTTGCCTTTAAGAGGCAATCTTCAGAAACTCCTGCAAAAATTATTACGGGTGACTCATATGAAATACGCTCCATATATGTAGATATTTTAAAGAAACTAGATTGGAAAACGTTAGGTGAAAGAAGGACGGAGCAACAACTAAAATATGTATCAAAAGCACTTAGATGCAAATTTCACGATAACATTTCGGACATGTTTAAACTATATAATTCAGATCGATATGAATTAAAAAATAACAAAAATAAGTTGATGTTGTTGAAGCCAAAAACAAATTCAATGAAACGAACTTTCGGTTATGCTGCCGCTAAAGTTTGGAATGAAAGAAATAAAATTTTTATATAATTTTATCTGGGTGGGGTTGGAGTGAATAATAAACTTTCAATGTATTTCTAATATTATTTGGGTGGTTCGGGGAGGGTGGGTGCATGGGAATCTCTTATACTGTCTGTAAGTACACGGCCTAGTGAAAAGTAACGACAACCTTGCTAATATTTTTAGTTGATTAGCTACCATGTTACAAGATGTTTTCAATAAAAAAGTAAGTAAAAAATTATAATCGGAATCGGACCAATTTTTGTTTATCGGTAGACAATCGGAATCGGTAGAATAATTTGTATTTTCTGATTGTGTAAAACTGATGTTGAGAAAATACGCACTTTAAAAATTATATATATTGCGCGGTGATACACGTTGAATGCACTTTTCAGTGTGGAGCAAACTGTTGCCGCGACGAAATAATACGTGAAGCGTGTCATTTATGTACAGGTTTAACGAACTTTGCTTGCTACTAGTAACATGTTATGTTGGAAATTATCATTATAAATCTCGAAATGGATTATGACGTCATAGAAAATCAGAATCAGGTAGATTATTGGATGAATAATTGATAATAATCGATCAATCACTAATACTTGTTGGGTTTCGGATGAGAACATTATTTCTAACATTAGTGTTCCAACAATAGTCACTGAGAGGCAGTACAAACTGCAGCCTAAAGACCAAGAAGTCTTACGCACATTCATGGATAAACAGTAGTGATCTCTATATATACTGCATCGATTTTGATCAAAGGCAATTTGATACAAGAAATAACAGTTACTCTTGGAGAGCATAATGTACTATTAAAAAAGAATGATAGAATCAAACATTAAGGTATTTGGCAGTCTCATTTCTCAATGAATGTATTTTATTCTGAACAAACACCCAAAACGTACTATTAAAGTTATTTAGAAAATACAACAACTTTAAATGGCTCTACTTTTTAGAGCAGGCAACTAACCATCACCAAATTTTGCTTGAAAGTAGAATAGCATGTGGGTATGATGTGGAATAAAAATTACTGTTGTGTATGTATGGCTTCCATAACAAATTTTCCAATAAAGATGATGTATATTTTGTGTCTTCAGAAACACATAATTAGACTTTTTGCTGTGCCATAACACATTACTGGTTGCAGATACAAAGATGAAAGTACAATATTTGAAATCTCCATATACAAATACATATTTGTGCAAATTTTGATGGATATACCATGTACGGGTACGAAGTTACAGGTCAAAATGTAAAATAGGGTAATGGTGAATTTAGCACTGGCCACGCCCACTTTTTTGCTTTTCGGGCCATATTTCAAATTGCGATATCTCAAAAACTATTGCAGCTACGATGATCAAATTTTGAACTTAAACTATTCCCACACAATGTTAACTGCCTGCGAAATATAAAGAAATTTGGAGAGGGTGGGTGTCATGCCTGTGTTGAAATGGCATGGAATTACTCACCCGATATTATATTTCTTGAAACTATCTGCGCACCTGAGTTGCACAATAAATATGTTGCACAATATATATATATTGTTCAATGGCAATTGCTAGATAGTATACTTCAAAATAAGGTTTCTGTTTTTATATCAATTTTTAAAATAAGTTAGGGTTTAGGTTAGGGTGAGTATTAGGGTTAGGGTTTAGTTTTGTGTTATCGACCAGGGCTGTAGGAAGCTCTTTTCGATTGGGGTGGGGGGGGGGGGGGG